TCAGACCTGACCAAATACAGTATATAACAGGAGGAACAAGGGTGAAACAGGAAGAGCTGTAACGTCACGGAGCAGAAAAGGGTGAAAACATGCCAAAATAGGATTAGTTGACTAAGTAAACAAATAGCATGGCCAACCAGATGAAGAATGAAAGTCCACAAACACCAAGAGCATGACAGGGAGAAGCACAGGTGAGGCTGAAAACAGGGCGACATGAACCAGCGAACAGAACCAAAGGAGGTGAGGTGGTAATAAAGGCTAAGCCAAAAGGCCAAAGAGCAGCAGGTGATAGTGATTGGAGGTAATTAATGGCCAGAGTGAAGCTGGGGCAGGTGAGAGTGGCAGGAAACAGGAAGTTGCTTCTACAATAAAAGTTTCAGACAGGAAGTGGCCAGGGATCAGGACAACTACACAGTTGGCTGCATTTTTATTGTAAATCAGACAAAGATAAAACTGCACAGGAGCAACTATAGGCACTATGTAAAAGGGAAAATAAAGTTGTTTTTTAAAAGCAATCAATGTAAACAATGGAGAAAAGTGAGAATGTAGCCTCACTGCCTAGAGCTTAGCATTATATAATGTTTATCTGTTAGAATTAGTTTTACTTTGGTAGCGTCACCTGAAAGTAGAAACGCAGCATCAGAGCGAGTGCACCGAAGCAGCAGCCTGGACCAACCTGCTGCGTGTACACTGACTTTTCCGGATATATCGCCTTCAACTGCTTCATCTTCTGCAGCTGGAACACCAGGAGTTCATGATATCCACAGATTAGACACAGAATTCATGTGAGTAAATGACTGGTTTGATGGCTAAGAGGAAGGAGAAGAAAAGGAGAGAGGGAAGGGAGGGATGGAAGAGGAGAAGAAAGAACTGATGAGTGAGAAAGAGAGAATGGTTGAAAAGAGATGTCAACAAAGGACTGAGCAAAAGTAAATGTTGCCAAAGTGGGAGATCATGAAGAAGATGGATGAATGAAATGGAACAGAATGAGGAGGAGATAGATTAGAAGAAAGACTGAAATAGGTGGAGGGGACAGAGGAGGAGGTAAATCAGACCACTGTCCTCTCTACTATCATCTGCAACATAACACCAACTCACCAAACTTAAGACAATAGCCTGCTATCCTAAGGTCACTCACCCATTTGACAGTGATGATGAAGACAGCCGATCCGATGGGTCCAGAGTAGATCCCATAGCCCCAGCGATCCTGGTAGATCCTCACAGCAATGGTCAGAACTCCAAACATGGTTATACTGGAGCGCTGGGGTTCATCGAAGTCACCCAGAGCTGGGACAGGGAGACACATGGTGCATGTGAGGATTTCAGTCTGCTGCATCGTGTCCATTTTAATGACCTTTTCAATCTGGAAAGATCATTTTAAGATGAGCTCGAATTTGATATCTAGCAATTTACAATTAGTGTACCTCCTGAGGAGAGGGCGGACCAGTCAATGAAGGCAGCTGCTGGAGCAGTTGGCTCTCCACAGCACGTGACTTAATGCAAAGCCTCAGGCGTGTAGATGTGAAAGGACCAAATGTGTTAATGTCTGCATGCACATCTGAGCACATGTGAGCAGAACTCAAAGATAAAACATATGTTATCAACAACTGCTGCAGGCGGAGCTGGTTGTTTTTAGCCTTGTGCTTGGGAAATGCAGCAGCTATTTTCTTTGATGAAATAAAGTGTTGTTGTTGTTGTTTGGTGAGAGTGCTTGCTAGCTTATAGTTACAAAAACAAGTAGCAAGCGTCAGTTTTCCAGAAGACAAGTGTTAAGACTAATAGTCATTGTATGGGTGGGGAGGACTTGTAGCGCCTCATGTCATGATTGCACATGTACAGTAGAGACGCGGTATCTGCTGCAACCACTCCACAGACAAACTGCAGCACATTCTGTTGCTGGATGCAGAGTGTGATGGTCTGTGTACTAGGACGTACCTATAAGTGTGACCCACATGGACAGAGCTGTGCCGTAAACACTGAAATACTCCAGGATATCATATCTCATGAAACACAGGATGGAGAGGCCTGGTCCATCACATGCATGATAGATCTACAGGAAGAGAGGTTAAGTCACTGTTTGTTAAAGACGTCACAGATCATTTAATGACCCAGTCCCAAGTTCAGCAGCACAATAACTTGATTTGATTTGATTTATTCTTTCAAGCATATAAAACAGTTGATATAACAACACACATTTTTACACACAATCCAATATCAATTTGCTTATACCTAGTACTAGCTCATTCAGTGAGCTAGCTAACTTGCACCTATAGCTTATTAATACCCCCCACCCCCACCCCATTAATATAAGTATACTGTATACAACTTGTAAATTAGGTTGAACTTAATGTTTGATTCAGTTCCAAGTTGGTAAAATCCTTGAATCTGTTAAGCGCTTGAGTCAAACAAATGTCTCCTCTTTTGTTTTTAATCAGTGAAGAGTGATGTGCACGTGGTCATTCAGTGAGCTAGCTAACAGGTCATCCAAGTGGCAAAACTTTAGGTGCTGTTTTTCTTGTGTTTATATGAGGTTATATTTGTGGGATTACCAGGAACATCAGATTTCACTCAAATACCACTGAAGTCGAAGCAACATGGTTTCAGTCTATCACATCAAAACACAAGTGCAGTCTCACCGCGATGAAGAACATGGTGAAGAAGTAGACCATGGCCTCCATGTGGAAGCCCCTCTTGGCGGCCACACTGGCTGTAGGCAGGAACACCAGGCTGCTGACTGTAGGAAGCAGCATCTTGGCAATGAACGCACCCATGGCGGAAGGACAGCAGACACGCCTCAGACAGAAGCTGTGAAGGCTTGTAGATGAGAAAGTGTCCTGTGGCTGCAGAAGCTCCACAACCTTTGTCAGTTAAAACTATCTTAAGGAGTGAAGAAGCAGTGTACTCTGAAACTGTTAATTAATAAAAATGTGACAGCTAGGAAAGTAGATGTCCTCTGGTCCCTCAGTCTTAGTGTGTGGCTAGTGGGTCTAGTAGTGTGTGGATGTGCTAGAGAATGCATATACAGCACACACATACACTCCCACACAGCACAAACACACCCAGCTGTCCAGTTTGGCCCTTTAAAGATTAAATGTCCCAGAGACCGGCGGGTCCACAGAGGCCTGTGTGTGCACTGTCATCGCTGAGCAGCTGCTAACAAACCAGTGTGATGTGGGGGGAACTTCAGGCAGGGGCTAGCATGCCATACTGTTGCATATCTAAGGACTCAAACCAGGGTTAAACACTATCAGTGACTGTTTTACTGTTTAGTGTTCGTGGCAGCAGACAGAATGGCTCTCCACTGACTCAGTGGGTCAAACACAGCTGGGATGAGCTGTTGTGGAGAGTCCCAACCTGCACAAGCACAGTGCCAGTGCTCAGTGTTAGTACAGGAAGTAGTACACACCTTATGTAGTTCACAGATTCATTATGAGAATGGAAATCATTTATCAAGACGGTGATCACTCAGTCCAGTGACTGGTGCTCCCCCTGAGTACTGTGCATGCCCACTGTGTGGCCCATTACATGCACATGAATGTCATTACTCCACACTACAGCCCCCTTTAGGCTTTCAGGAAAATGCCAGCCACATAAAAATAGCTTTGCTATAGTCCTGGAAGAGGTTATAAATACTAAATCTTCATTTTTCGAAGACAAAGAAAACAGAAAGGCTTGTATTTGACTTTGTCTGATGTTTAAGGGCTCTTGTCAACAATGTCTTTTAAAATAGTGAGCTATGAGGGAGGGAAAAGCCATTTTGAGCCTGCGTGGAACTTCCTGTTGCAGTGAGACAAACTGGGAGCAAAGCTGACACAACCACACTGTGTCCAGCTCCTTTAATACACCTACCATACAGTAGTGGTCATGTAGTAATGTCACTCAGTTGAGTCACTGACAATGTCATTAGAAGTACTGACAGGTTTTGGTGACTTGATATTATGTTTGCTGATTGGGTGGGACAGCAAACCCCAGCCACTGCTCTGCACCTGTTGTCAGCAAAAACATGAGGTGACATAGTGACATCAAACCTGAGGTAATACAATGGGACCCGACCGGACCCGATTAGACAGAATATACCTTGGACCTAGCCTGACTGGTCTGACTCTCAGTTGGAAGAATGAACTGATACTCTAGAGCTTAGCTGAGTTAAAGCAGTGAGTTAACATGTAAACAAACAGTAGCAGGTTGGTGATAGTCACGTTTTATACACACAGTGGACATGTGTCACATAAGCCTAGTTTCTGTTTGACTCTTCTAAGTGAATCCACATTTGACTCTGTACTGCGCTGTTGTTCCCAGAAGAGATTTCTCAGTGATGGTGGTGAGGCAGCAGCAGTTGCCCTCCTCTCAGCTGTTACATCTGCTCAGGGGCTTGAGGCAGCGACACAAAGGCTGCAGTATTGCTGGGCGATTTCACTGCACGCCTCAGATTCTCAGAGTGTTTCAGTAACTCAAGCTGCTGGTGCCAAACCTTCAGGCTTTGGAAGCAGTGCTGTGGCCTCACCACGCCCTCTACTGGGAATCTCTCTGCAAATGTGGCCCTGCTGTTGTGTTTGAAATGTGTCTGCAACATCTTCGTTCCTGTCCAAAAAATGAAACAGGTGCCATTTGTAAAGCTGAAGTGCTGCAGCGTGTTTTCAGGTCACTCTCAGTAAGCCTTGGTGTCCCACTTGACAAGCCCGTTACCTGCTTGTTCTGGAGCTTGTAACTGTACCCAACGGTCTTCATCAGCAGAATCAGCAGAATCAGTTGAACAGTTGTCATGAAGATGTTCTAGTGTAGAGCAGTGTCGCTCCAGTGGCGCAATCGGTCAGCGCGCGGTACTTATAAGACAGTGACTTGCAGGGCCATGCCGAGGTTGTGAGTTCAAGCCTCACCTGGAGCAGCAAGCCTTTAATTGTCAATGACATGAGAAACTGGCACAGCACTATAAAGTTTTGGGGAGACGGTGGTTAAGCGGGTAGAGCAGTCGTGTCCGAACTGGAGAGTCGGTGGTTCAAATCTCGGTGCCTGCAGTCCACATGTCAAAGTGTCCTTGAGCAAAACACTGAACCCCCAAGTTGCCCCTGAGGGTTAGAGCCATTGGTGTGAGTTGATCTAAATAATTACAGTCTATATTAATGTGGGTAAAAATCAAATCTGCAGCATCTCACTGAGAGAGTTTGCACACTTGACTAGAAAACGTGTTTAGTGCAGCGTTTGGTCTGCCTTCTTAATCTGAACTGCTGAGTGCAATGTGAGGGCCCCCAGCTCATCTGGTCCAGGAGGGTGCGTGGCCTGTGGTGACTTTCACCTCAGGACCCCTCTGTCTAAACACGGCGGGTTAGTGTGGGAACCTAGAGCAGACTTCCTGGATGCATCTGAAAAAACACCAGGCTTCCTTTTGATTCAGTAATAAATAGCTGTGACCTCTGAAATGCAGTCCTCCTTCCACAAATAAATGGAAGGCAGTGCTCATATTTCAGCAAGGATGAATGGGAACCAGCGACAGTTGTGGGGTTATTTTACCTCGTCCCTAAACCATCATGTGATACTTCATTGTCATCGTTTATTACGGTTTAAATTCCAATAAAGCACCTTATTGGCACTTTTAATTATGTAAAATCAGAAAATTATGTTGTGGCTTCAGTTTCCCTAACAGTGACTTTTGGTCTTTCTTCTCTTTCATCAGACTAAATAAAAGCTCAGCCTGGTTTTTCTCTGGATGCTGCAGTTTGAAGGGCAGGTCAGTAAACAGTAGCTTGTTGCATTGAGCGAGCTGTTATTTAGGATATAGTTGAATCCAACAATTCCAAAGCTACGCACACTGTAGCACTAAAGTAAGCCAACACTGAAGAAGTAACAGTACTTTCATCAACAGCAGTCATTTTAGGTTTCCATTCAAGGGAGAAATACTCCATGTTGTTTAAAAGCCCGACAGAACAAAGTAAAACTGCCTTTAGTGAGTTACTGTGTGAT